TGGTACGAGACGTTACCTCTTGTTCTGTTAGGCATCAGAACATGCGTAAATTCAAATGCCCAATGCACAGCTGCTGAGCTGGTTTTTCGGAATATATTAGGACTGCCTGGGGAATTTTTCACGCCAGGCAACATGAATTCCATTGGAATACAGGACTACGTGCAGCATTTGTCTACGTTTATGCAGTCCTTGTCTTCGGCACAAACTCGAATACAGCAACGAATGTGTTACAAACCCAATGAATTCCTTACCTGTTTTCACTTATTTATTCGAATTGATGCCGTACGTAAATCGTTACAACAGCCTTACGAAGGACCTTTTTGAGTTATTTTGTGTCACGAAAAGTTCTTCAAGGTTGATCAACATGGTCGAGTCGATACGATCAACATCGAACGGCTCAAGGCAGCATGTGTCAGTTATGGCATAATGCACGCCAGTTTGAGACCCGATGTTATTCCTTCACCACCAATGATTGAGGCACCTACCTCAGAGTCGAGCTCGCAGATCGCAGTACCTGCTACGATTTGGAATGAGGCAACTGTCTCACGTTCAAGTCAGCAGTGTACGAACACACTATCAGACCATGACGATACATCAGTCTCACGTTCAGGTCGAAGGATTGTTTTGCTTGCCCGTCTGCGGGATTGAGCAAAACACGATCCACACATGCGTATAACGTGAGAAATACCTATTACGACATATATTACGAGATGCCTCATTTGGATCTATGTTTTGTATGCTCAATAAGGTTTTATGATTGATGCAGCAATTTTGAACGTTAGGATGCTACTATCTTTCACTTCCAGATATCAGGTCATACGAAACGCACATTGTTTGCCTCGAGGTTCAACGATAATTTTGGCACCCTCTCGCACGATCGTGGCCCCTTTGAATCTCAAGGATTTTTGTTGCAGACGACCTACGTTTCTACGGTCGCATACATGAGCAACAAGTGGTCTACTTCATTCATTCTGACACGCCAACGATCATGAACGCTGGAAACGGCGAGAGCCACCTGACACCATGATGCAACAAAAGATTCGGATGGTGTGAATCATCCAATGACCGATTGAGGATACGTCGATATGGTTCCCATTCTGACATCCGATGCAACGAATTTGGTCGATGTTCGACAGACGCAAAACAATCCACACATACAAACGATTCTGCCAGTCCATGTCTTGCAGCACAGTCACACGCTTACGTTTGCTTGCTTTCCACACTCGTTTCTGGATTAAAAGCTTTTGCTTGCTTTCTAGTGGGGGGCTGCTGTAGTAACCATGATTGTACGTAGAAAAGGAGCAATCCACGATGACGTTTTCCGTTCATAGTATCTTCACAATCAACTCTGACTCCAACTGTGATATTTCTTTGTTTTACTTCTGCTTGTTTTACTAAGCACGGTTTTCCGCTCAGGTGTATATATAAGCTGGGTCCTGTTCAAACCCACGCAACACGTGTGACATGCTTTCGCCTTGCTACTGCATTTATTGCTTGCATTGTTTAGCGTCACCTCGGCACGTTTCGGTACTATCTAGTACCACGATTCGCCAATAAACGTCTACGACTCCTACGAGTGTTTTTGTCTACCTCGGGCAACGAGACACTAGGAGGTCGCGCGCACTTTTAAGACTCGTAAGAAGACTTACCGGCAGGCCGTGAACACCGGTCAGCTTCAATTCGACCAAATGTGTAGTCATGGAACTTCTCCGGCGCATACGCAGTTGTTAGCATTTCTTTCTCAACCTGGGCTTACCTTTGTTCACAAGCCGTTTTTGTCCTACTCCGGTATTCCAATGGATGCCCATTACGAACGAGCGCGGACCCAATCCAAATTTGCTGCTATCACATTTTATGTACAGAGGTGCATTGGGATCGCAATAAGCCAGCACTGGGGCTTTCATAATGAGTTACTAAAAGCAATCAAAAGCCGCCCATTGTTCTTGTGTCCAAAGCCACAGTTCTCCCTCACGCATCGAACGTTGAATCGGCCGTGTCAATTCAGTTAGTTCTGCTAGAAATCTGCCGAATAAGTTATCAATATCGTAATGTTCCATTAGCATCGGTTGGGGGAGGCATTTTTCTACAATCACCTTTACATTTTCCGAGTCCGGTTTGATCCCTCCGGTTGTAAATATGTAACCTTGAAAGCTGACTTCCGATTGATAAAAGATTATCTTGTCTTGTTTCAGCTTGATTCTATTTCGTATACGACGCTTAAAAAAGCCTTCAAATTTATCTATTGTGTTCATATACATCTTGACCAAAAATTAGAATGTCGTTTGTCACGCACAATACCCCGGGTAAATCACTTACCGCTTGAAGGATTCGTTTCTGAAATGTTTCACTTGATACTTCCAAACCGATCGGTTGCCAAAAATGATCAGGTAACTTGATCTATCGTCCAGTTCTAAATGCCAAAATTTGGATGCTAAATCCACCTTCGTGACGCATCTGCGTTAGCTAATTCCGGCAGTAAATTGTCAAACATACATTGGATGAAGTGCTGCCGTCCTAACGCATTGTTTAACGGCTGCCGATCGATACGAATTTTCAGCTCCCCAGAATTTTTCGTTACCACCACAGCTTGACGTATCCAGTCGGTTTGGTCATCGACATTCTCCAGAACACCATTTGCAATAAGGTCACTAACTTCACGCGGAAATTTCTCTCGAACTGCAAGTGGGACCCGCTGCTCTGGTAAAACAGCGGACTTGGCTGCATCGTTTATATGAAGTGTGATAATTCCTGGCAACTTTCCCAGTTTTCCGTCGAAAACAGAAGCATTCTTCTTCAGGTAGCATCCAGTATCTTCACATAAGTGATGAACAAATGAATCATTGTTAAACGATAACAAGTCAAGTCGCTTGATGGACTGGTATTCAAGGATTGGAACATAACCCAGCTGCACCACGACAGAACTCACAACAAAGTAGTTTTCTTTTTCGGCTCCATGTTGGCACCGTTCCACTTGACTAATCCCGTCTGAGTAGGGGCCAACATGGTATCGGGTAGGTAAAATCTTGGTTCTATGTTGACGGACGCACCAGAGTATAGTTGGAATGTCATTTCTTCTCTATTCACCAGAAACTTTGCAAACGCGTCTTCATAAAACATTCTTCTGCAAAATGATAACGCTTTTTGCAGTTATTGCACGTTTTTCCCAAGCAGAGCAGTTGCTTCTTCCCATCAGATACATGCTGTCACGGAAACGATAATCAGCTGTTAGTTGTGTTCCATATTCAGTGGCGAGTTTGAATATTCCATAATCCTCCGCTTTGGTAAGCGTCTACATATGCTTCTCCGAGGCCACATGAATAAGACATATGCCAATACATTGTTTCAATGTCAGCTTTGGAGGTTTCAAAAGGCGCTTTACCACAGCAGAATCCCGTAAATCAACGACAATCCGGTCCTTTATTAAACGTTCTTCTAAACAGGCACGGAAATTGCACGAACGTGTCAGTGACTTTAGGGATTGGACGAATGCACTGAGGGACTCAGCACGCTGCTGCCTCCTGTATTTGAAAATGAATCGTTCATAAGTCTCGTTAGATTCACCAGGACAGTACCGTTCCATCTTCGCTATCACCATCTGCCAATCTGCACTGTCCTTAACCGGACGGTACGCGAATCTATTTATGACGCGCAGAGCAACCGGACCAGTAGTGTGACGGAACAAACCCAATTCCATGGAACTGGATTCGCGGTCCATTCCTGTCAGTACATGGAAGTTTGTATATTTATGTTCGCCACAGTCTCCAGTTGTCAGCCAATCGCCACGTCTCCTCCACATTAGATGTCTGCATTAACGCACGTTCTGATGCCTAACAGAACAAGAGGTAACGTCTCGTACCAATTGAGGTTCTCGTCTGCCCGAAGGGCAACCTTAAGTTGACGGTGAAAACGTTCGACTAGACCGTTAGATGCTGGATGGTAAGCAGTTGTAAGAGTCGCTCCGTACCCAGCAAGCATGTTAATGAAGAGAATAATTCTGATTCGAATTGTGCTCCTCTGTCAGTCGTGACAGAAGAGTCACAACCGTAGAGTACTATCCATCGTTCTACACATTGTCAAGCTATTGCTTTGGTCATGACAGTAGTTTAGAGATGAGGACATGCGATATCACGATGCGCAATGACGATCCGATCTCTAATTATCCCGTGTCTCTCGACCATCCAGTATGAATCGGGAAGAACAACTGGTTAGTCAAGGGAAAATATATTGTTCCCTGAAAGCACCGGAGTTCAGCCTGATTATGCTTGAGAGCATCTGAAAGCGGAAATGCTTAGCAAGCGAAAGGTGTAGCTCTGAACTCACGCACCTTTTAATGTGAAGAGTACTTCACCGGAGGTGGTAGAGACTTAAACGAAGATAAAAGACTTAGCTGAAGATGCGGTATCAGTATATCAAAGATCCTGGCGGATTCTATGCTACAAAGGAGAAGGATGCACGAGAGAATGCTCCAAGCAACCAATGCCTGCAATCATGTGAAAGCACGCATGTGGAAAAGGCAGACGAAAGATGGTGACAATCTCGAGCATGTTACACTGTTGGTCTTAATCGAGTACCTCTCCCCCCTCTCCCCTCAGGAAAGCTGCCTTATGAATTCTTCGTCCAACAGAAAGGGATTTTGCTGTGAAAGCCAGGCAAAAATAGAAAACAAAATAACGGTGTGGACACTGTTTGTCTGAAGCAGAAACCTAAGTATGTTTAGCGACACCAGTAACGCTCCAGCTAGAGAAAGAATGGCATACAATTGCGAACAAAACTGAAATGAAACGTTCGGTGAATGCACATGGCCAATAAACACAAGCAACCGGCTAAGCGTCTATGTACAGGCAATAACACTATTTGAATGGATTTTGTTATTGGGTTAGTATTTTACACATCGCACACAGCTTGACCACGAGCAACTCTTCCTTTGAGGAGGAGTTGAGGCGCAGTGAACTGTCTAACTGAGGACAGCCAAATGCGTCGGACACTGTCGGACGACCCGTGAGGGAGGTGCCAGACAGCGATGGAGACCCGTACGCAAGGCATGCTAGGAGGCTCCACACCACGTCCTCGCCTTCGGTGTCGTGAGTGCGACAAGAAGTGCAGTCCATGAGAAAGTTCCGAAAAATTGTTCGCAATATGTGGCAAGCGAACTGGTCCATATCCCGTACAGTTGACAAAAAAAATTCTTCGTGTAATTAAACTTTAGAGCAGCAAGTAAGGCTCTGAAAAAGAACAGACTAGTGAAAACTAAAGGCACAAAAACGCATGAAACAGATGTATCTATGCGGAACGGTAGGAACACGAAAAGGAAAAAAACGCGATTTTTGGTTCATGATTTTCTTGGGGTTTGGGAATTTTTGTTGTTTTCAAAACGCGTTAGGACGTCAAAATGGCGAACAGTTAACGGAAAACGCATGAGTCGCCCAGACACTATTCAGTGTACTAAGAAGGAAAAGGAACTCTACTCCTTGACCTAGTGGAAGTGCTGGTACGTAAAGCAGAGCATATGTTCCAATCCGTTGAGAGTGCTTTCACCAGAGGAGAGACGAAGGAAGAAGAGGGTGAAGGTGCAGGAGGTTCGCAGGAAGGAAAGAGTGAAGAATCGCAAAGGGGATCGAGATAAGCAGGTTTCAATCGATCCAAGGAAACGCTATCCCTTTTACCATTACAGTTGATAGTAAAGAATTTGGACTCACGACGGACTACTTTGAAGGGACTATCGTAAGGTGGGTAGAGAGGTTTACGGACACCATCGAATCGAACCCAGACATGAGTGGAGTGGGCCAGATTCTTATGAACAAACACGCATCGGGACTGTGAACGCGGTTGAGTAGGTGTCAGTTTTCCTGTATGGAACCGGAAGCGCGAGACAAAGTTGTCTGTCTGTCAACTTATATTGCGTGGTAGGAGAAATGTAGTCCCCAGGCAGACGCAAAGTGGTTCCAGAAACTAACTCGGCTGCAGTGCATCTAAGATAGTCTTTGAGAGAATTGCAAATACCGAGAGGAACTATCGGAAAAGTTTCATCCCATGGTAGAGAGGAGCGAATGGATAGAGCTGCTTTGAGCCGACGGTGAAATTTCTCAACCAGACCGTTTGCCGCAGGATAAAAATCAGTGGACACATAACGGCAGATTTGTTCGTATGCTCGAGTTGCTTTGCACTAGTTTAACATGATCCAGATTCGTTGGGTTGGACGCCAGCATGGGAAACATTTTGACGTATCTTCAATCCATGTTTGGATGAATCCCATCATCCGAATTATTAGTTGCACCACGGTCTCAGG